ATTTTATTAACCCTCAGCCATCTCAAGGACACAACTCCATAAGAGAAACTGCAATAGGTTTATGATGATGTACAATAATTTCTACAAATTGTAAACAAAATGTAAAAGTATTGAATTAACTGAGCTCACTTGAAGTGGTAAATGCATCTTTTTAAGAATAGTTAAGAGATGTACTGTCTTCACATCCCATAGTGCATTTGTCTGTGCAACCACCAAAGTGTCACTGACTACTTAAAACATTTGCACCTTGGTCCTCTGGGAGTAAGTTTGGTTCAATTTGCCATTAGACAACCTTGACTCTTCTCTGAAAGTGCTTTACAATACAAGCTAAACAGGGAGAGTACTGGCCCTTTAAATGGTGCTCTGAGTGCTTGGCAGGCTAATAGATGCAGTCTAAAGGTGCTAGTGGATGGCAACCTGAAAAATGGCCTTATCTGAAAAGGTCCAGGACAGTTATAAATGAAATAATCACGCTTGGCACATTAATCCGTGTTCACACCCTAGGGGGAGACCTCAGCTCACCATCTGATCTGTGTGTGAGTGCATGTATACAGTATGCGAACATGCGTGCACATGCATGTCTCTGTATTTTTGTATTTGCAAGTAACCTTTTCACTCATTCTTTCCTTTTTCCCTCCTTCAATCATTGTCTTTTAGAGCTAACAGCAAAGCTTTTATTATTCTTTCTGACATGCTTCTAACCAGGAACTCCAGCAAGGGATATAGCACAGGGAAAGAGAGGGAGGAGTGAGAAACAGTGCAAAAAGAGAGAGAAATGTACAAAGACAACCAAGAAAGAAAGAAAGAGGGAGAGAAATTAAAGACATTTAAGCCACAATATGCAATTTGGCATAGCCACTGGACCACCACTGTTTAAATGATGTACAGTTATTGCTCATAAGGTTCCTGGAGTGCAAGGGAGTAGGGGCATCTGAAGGACAGGAGAAAGACTGTCCTCCTTTGTTAAATACTTTATTGTCTTTTTCAGTTTTCTGTTTGCATAAAGAAGGAATGAACAGCTGATTAATGATTTAATTTAATTTAATTGCTTTACACCTGCAAAATACAAATCCTTTTATATTTTTCATTTGATTCTTATTACACTTTACATACTATTTGGGACACAAAAGGCTGACACAGTGCCATTAATTATTGCTTGGTTTTCTTAATTTGAAACACAAAACGTTACTATTGAAACTGAATACTGCTGATTATTTATTTGCCAGTAGTCCATTCTCTCTTATACACCCTCAGAAATCTGGTTGCTGCACTGTGTCATGAGTTAATTCAGCTTTTGCTTTGTGTTCAATCAGTCAAACAACTTCTTTCTATTATGAACCTTGAGAAAATGAGTGACATTCTTCTCATGAAATGTTTCTCATTTCACAGCCTAACCCAGTGAACACATGAATCCAAATTTGTGAGAGCGAAAACAAAGTAGTTACAATTTATAGACAACACTGCCATCTAGTGGACATGAATTAATCATGTCAACCATAGAAGCGCTGATGCACATATGCACAGAATTGCAAATTTAATTGAAAGCCTGGCCTTGTCCCAAAATAGATACTTGCGTGTTATATTTGGCATCCAAAAACACGTTCACATAGGGACCTAAAATGTCTCTGTACTAATTCTTAACAGTACTGATTGTGATCTAGTGAATTCTTTTTTTTAGTCTTCTCTGGTAAACAAAATTCTAATGATTGATCATTAGTATTGCACTCCCACGAAGGTAGGAGACTTGTAAGAGACAGATTTTAAAAAGAATAGTCAGAATCAGTGCAATCAAATGCTTAAATGACTTTAATTTCCTAGTATGTGTCAAACTTCACAAACACTGGATCCTAAACTTTCGGTTGTGCAACTCAATAGCGTCCTTTGTTAGACTTTCCCTGTCATGGTCATGTCTTTCAAATACCATGTGATTTCTGTTGTATGTCTCCAAGCCTTCCACAAAGATTACTCAAGTGATGACACTGGAGTGGTTTCTACAGGTAGTATAACATTCCTAGTGTAGTGTAACTAGTAAATTGACTTTTCCATGTACAATTGGTGTAGTGTCCCTTAAGACAGTCTTCTATTGCATTTCATCAGATTCATCTAATAACTCAGTTAGTATTTGCTAAAAATTTAATAAGCATGGACTGTCACACGTTTCAAATTTACACAATACTGTTTTCAAAATGATCAATACCTCAATGCTCACTATCTCACTATCAGGGTGGATAAATGGATGAATTTAGTGTCTTGGAAACTGCAATACAAATAAACACCAGCAATATGACACTGTATTACATGAATCTAGTCCTCTGTTAATTGTAGCCCTTCAGCTACCTGCAATAGTAAGTCACTATTGTGTACTGTAAAAAGGCAATGCTGCCACCCAGTGAGCATCGAGTGGAAAACACATGAAAAATAATATGTGCTTCAATAAGTGTTTTTGTTTGACTTTTTAAATAACACAATTTAAGGCAAGTAAGAGCAGACCAACCAATCGAGTTTGAGGAATGAGATTCTGATTACAGACAATTGAGAGTTTGTTTTTAGTGTACATTACAGTTCAGGTTTTTATAGATTAGACGTTGCTCAAACAATGACAATATTAGAAACTGGCTAATTACTTTTGACAGATTAAATATAAAAACATAAATATATGTTTTAGTTCAGGCAAAAATAAACCTGTTGCTTCAAATGACAATTAAGAGTCAGAATCTCATCTAAAGAGCTGAATAAAAGTCCTCTCAGACAAATTAGAAATGCAATGTGAACACCTTTTTTGTATTGCAATGCAACACTATGAATGTCACCGAGGACAGATTGTCCAGATGTGTAACTAACCCTAACCCTAATCCCCATGAACGACCATCATACCTCGCCTCTATGACGGCAGGCTTTCACCAGGCCTTCGAGTATGGCCTTTTGGAACCTCTAAAGACAGAGCAGTCAAACAACACAGACTAGTTTGTTTTGAAGCATAACTCAACCTCTATCCTTCCAGTGAATTCTGGGTTCCCAAGTTAGGCTCCACAGGGAGGGGTCTGAGAGGCATGCTGATTTGGAGGCCTTATGGTCTGGTTTGGCTCAAAAATAAGTAGTTTATCCAACCAAGTCTTCAAATCGAATGTGTTTATAGTTGTTCGGCCACGCTGGACGGCAGGGTGAAATGCTGTCATCACAGAGAATGGGGAGACGTGATATTGTGGATAAATACGGAAACAGTGCACATTTTCTCTCCTGTAAGGCAATGATGTGTTGCACTCCCTTTTTAACATAAAAGTTCAGTGCATGTGAGAATATGGCCCTGTATGACAGTGAGTACATGCTGAGAATCTAATCATAACAAAAACATACTGTACTTTACACACACACACATCAACATCCTACAAATGTTTGCAATCAGCTTTTTTTTTAGCTTTGGGCTATTACCAACCTTTGTCCTTAGATTACCATTAGAGCGTTAACCCCCTACGGTGGTCTGGGATCACTATGCTAATCACTCTTAACTGTCAAGCCTAATAGATGAGAGCCATTTGATTATCAACCAGAAATAATATCCTTTGGATTTTGCTTTGTGCTATAGTTTGAATCACACACTTTTGTGGTTTTAGTATTTGCAATATGTTCTCCTTTGCATTACCCTCAACTTCCCCAGGAACCTTAGTGAAAGAGGGTGGTAATGCTCTTACAAAGGTTGATCTTAGCGTGCACTGTGACATACGTCATGTGACATGGAGTCGTGTCCTCTATTATCAATTGACCGATGGAACAAAAAATGTGTTCAAGAAAGAAAAGGTTAAAAATCAACACAGGTGAAGGTAGAGGAAAACCAAATTGACAATGCTTGCACATTCAAATGTTTTATTCAAATTTCTCTTGGTTAAGCTCACAGACTTCACAAATGTAAATATCTCTTAAGACCTGGTGCAAACATAATGGTATATGCCTCCTCTGGACCTACAAACTTTCATAAATAAATCTGTACTACTTTGGGAGTTAAGACTATGCTTCTAAATCAGTCAACCATGTACATTAACCGTGTTCAAATGCGATGTGAAAGAGGCTCTTTGTTAATGCAATTTTAATCTTTACGTCAAGACTTTAACAAGCAGAATGCTTATTCATGGGTAAGAAATGTTATTCAAAGTGTATTTATATTTACACAAACTGAATCATGAAAAACTCAATTAATCTGTTTGAAAAGGGACTCAAAAGAGAAGAAGCAGCAGCGGGGAGCAACCAAAAGCACCTTTACTCTTTGGAAATGTTCCAATTAGGCTGTGGCTTGCCAGCAGATCAAAGCTAGGATAATCCTAGGGCTAGGTGGCGTGGCTACTAGTATATGGACCTAAATTTGATACTAACAACCAATAGGGAGTCAGGTTGACAAATGAGTGTGTCAGTGTGAGTTACAGGGAAGGAAAACAAGGGTGGAGGAGAAAAGAGAGGGATGAGAGAAAGGGAAAGATATGGAAGAGACAGAGAATGAATCTGTGCTACCGGAGAAGGATAGGGAGGAGGGGAAGTTTGTGGTTGGTGCACTGGTATGTGACGTCAGCGGCTTGTTGGATTGAGGTGCTGTGTCCTGCTGATTTTAATCCTTACTCATTAACGAACAGAGAGCAAGTGCCTGTGCAAACCCTCTGGGGAAAGAGAGAAAGTGACAGGAGAAGGAAGGAACACTACACAATCTATCAAGGGAGATCAGTGGAGCTAATTTACAGCTTGAGAGGCAGAAGAGAGGAGAAATCAAGCATTTTATTTTTGCTTTTCAGTCTCATGCCTACTTTCCCTCATTACCCTTTCCCTTGTTTGTTCTAAACCTCTTTACTTGTGATCTCTACGTGTGGCCTGTTCAAGCATGCCCCCGAACGGAGGTAACAGGGCCCTGAAGCTGCAGTTTGGCCTCATCAACTATGAGAACCGTTACCTGACGGCTGAAGCATTCGGCTTCAAGGTGAACGCCTCGGGCATCAGCATGAAGAAGAAACAGATCTGGACCTTAGAGCAGGACGAGCAAGATGGCCAAGTAGTGTTCCTCCGCAGCCACCTGGGACGCTATCTGGCCTCTGACAAAGATGGGAAGATCATATGTGGGGCAGAGAAGCCTGACCCTGAATGCCGTTTCCTTATCGTGCCCCAGTCTGATGGTCGCTGGGCACTGCAATCAGAGCCTTACCTGCGTTACTTTGGAGGCTCGGCTGACTACCTGTCCTGCTTTGCCCAAGCCATTGGGGAACAAGAGCTGTGGGCTGTCCATTTGGCTTTACACCCACAGGCCAGTCTGCTCAGTGTGGCACGCAAGCGCTATGCCCACCTGTCTGCTTCGGATGGAGAGATTTCAGTGGACAGCAACATTCCCTGGGGAGTGGACTCCCTGGTTACCTTGGTATACCTGGATGGCAAGTACAGCCTGAAGACCTGTGACAGCCGTTTCCTCAGCAATGATGGCAAACTGGTGAAGGAGAACAGCAATACTACTAGCTTCACACTGGAGCTGAAATCTGGCAAGCTGGCCTTTAAGGACTGTGATGGGAAATATCTGACCCCAGTGGGTCCCACAGGAACGCTGCGATCTGGCCGATGCTCCAAGCCTGGAAAAGATGAGCTGTTTGATCTTGAGGAGAGTCATCCACAAGTAGTTTTTCAAGCCGCCAATAAAAGATTTGTCTCAGTCAAGCAAGGTAATCAGCCTGTGATGCAGTCTTGTGTAATCACATCTCTTTCTTATCTAATGGTAAGCAAGCAAGATTTTAATAGTTACAAAATTAATTTTCATACAGAAAATGGGTTGGAGTGCTGCACTTGCAGTATGAGGTTCACAATCCAGTATTAAGCACTGAATGAATTTAAAGTTCATCGTTGAAAACCATTGAGGTAAAAGATTTAGATTTGATTGTTTGCAAATACATTTTCAAGAAACTTGACTATTCAAAATGAGGCAAGGTAAAGTGCTGTTGTAGTAACAAATGGGCACAATGGCGAACATGCAAGCTAAATGTAGCTAGAAGCTAGAACTTTCAGAGGCTCCATTAAGTTCACACTTAAAGAAAGAAGCGATTAATAATATAACACCATGGTTAAATCATCACTTTTGACAAAATGCCACAGCATTTCTCCACTACGATTTTGCAATCACCAAGCAGCTGCTATGAGTCTTTGTGCACTTAACCACAGCATGATAGGCTAGGTGAGACCATTTGCAAATCCTTTAGAGACCCTTTTTCAGACGATTTTTTAGGTTAGTTTAGGTACTGAGGTTTGCAAAGTGTCAAGCATTAGCCTATGCAAAAATATCTAAGCAACATAGCACTGTAGAGAACATGGCATTCTTTGAATGGAGCAGTACCACTGCTGGGTGGACATAACAAAAAACTAATCGGTTACATTTATCAGTTAATGAGAGAAAGCGCTGTCTTTCCTGTCTACATGCTGGATCTAGAATGGTTGACAGCCATACTGTGGGGGTAATTGTGGTAATGGGCTTTGTCATTTCCACTGTGTGTCCATTGAAGATTAAGCAGCGTGCAAATTTCTCTAGGGCAGATCTTGGCCTCATGGGTGTCAATTACCATCAATGGACTTTAAGCCTTGCAGCTACTCGCTCTTTACCGTCATCCATCGAGTGAAGTTTTCCAAATTATGTGGGTCTATATTCGCCCAGTGTGGCAATGAGATGGCACCAAAAAAGAGCTATAGCCAGGCCTTACCCGACAGATCAGTTACAAGGTCTCTTGTCAGCCTGCATGATGTGATTTGCTCTGCCCTGTACAATTATTCAAACAAACAATGTGAAAGGACAGGAGAGAAAGCTGTGTTCTGTTGCAGCTTTTTAAAGCTTTAAAGTTCAATTAAAACAATAGTTATTATAAGCCTTATCTTTATTGTTAAGTAGTTACAATGGACATGCAGGACTATAGCATATCTGAGGAATGAGGTTCTCAAACTATCTTTACATTATTCTTATGCATGAATAAAATTCTGCATTAAAAAGATCCCTATGTGGGCAATAGTCCAACAACCTGCCACTCTAGCCTCATAATGTAGGGCAAATACTAACATTTTTAACTGTAGTGTTTGGCCTTGTGGCAGTTCCACGTTTTTTAAGGAACAAGGCACTGAAAGCTGCTTAGAGGGCCCTGCAGTGCAGATTTGCATTTCACCACTCAGGGAATTACAGCAAGCGAATGAACGGGAAGGGTGGAGGGGTGACTGTAGGGGATTAGGGTTGTAACAGGCTTAAGAGAAAGGTTGAAGGATATTTCTGTGGCATCTAATTTGAACTACAGCAGACACAGTTATGTCTGTGTATTCTCCACCACCTGACACGCCCCACCAGACACCCATGCTAATACATGTGAATTAACACCAGATTGGCTGAAAGTAAGGCAGTCGGCTTTGGAGAACGGAACATTAACTGACTAACTGGAAAGAAAAGCAGATTTCTAATGTTATTCTGTGGTGTTTTTACCTTTACTTACACACAAGATGATTACATGAAATTTGCCTAAGAGCAAAGGTTCATAAAGCATGTCTTAGGAACATCCACAGCTTGTAGATGACAAAAAGCAGATTGTTTAAAGCCATCCTCTGCCCAAAATCTATTTATAACATTCTATACACTCTATAAACTTAAAAAGTTAAATAGATAAGGCAGTGTTTTTGTGCTTCCAATAGATTAAAAGCTACCAAACACTGCAATCTCAATCTGTCTGAAATTGCAGGCAGCAATGAGTATGATTTAATGCCATAAATCCATGAAGGTGAACACTGACAACTGCAACGGCAAAGAGTTAGCATTTGCTTTTGCACTTTTGCACTATTGAAGATCACAAATTAGAGGCTCATTTGCACAGCAGGAGCCCTGAAGCAACATAGATTTGTATGTGGCACCTCCACTTGAGTGGATAACAATTTTAACACGTATGTCGCTAGAACCTAGAACCAATTGCACAAAATCAAGCAACCAAAATAATTTGCTGAAAAAAATAATGGAATCGAAGATGTGATGTGTTTTTTTGTATTTGTGATTAATATGAATATATGATATTGATAGCATTGAGACATTACTCTGCCCAATAAAATGTGGTGTGACCTAACAACACCTGGGGCCAGATGTCTATATGATACATGTGCAAAAAAACAACAACATGTATGCGTGCCATTTCCCTCACATAAACTGGTATGAAGAAGAATGTGAGGTGAGAATTTGCGCACCTCAGGCATACTTCATACTAGGTGTCCACACTTTTCTATACATAGCTGCGGGTAGTATGATAAGGTGGTGACTAAATACAAGCGGAGAAATGTAATCTTACAGTTTTAATAATCAAGTTGTTTGCTAATTTCACAGATTGTATTATTATTTTTCTACACAGCGTTCTGTAAAATGTCAAATCAAAGCCACATTTATACACTTGATTTTAAATTAACTATTAGTGATGATTTTTATCATTCTTTTCCCATTTTACATTTCATGTTAATAATAATCTTTTAAATATGTCCATAATTTTGAAGCACTTTCTAAAGTCTCTTTTAATATGAGCGCTATAAATGAATCATTGATCATCCAATTAGTGGCACAGACACTATAAATAGGCACAGATTGTGCTTAATGACAGCTGTTCTGGTGTTTGGAAGAACCTTGAACCGTGCACATATTTTCAGTTGGGAATCTGCAGAGATTTATGCATCTGACCCCTGTGCCTATATTAGGAGAAAGAAGCATTGGATGAGTCATTGTACGTAGCACAATGTATTATGTGGTGCAACAACAGACAAGGCATGATGGATGTAATTAAATGTTGGATTACTACTGTATTATGCGTACAAGTCTCCTTGGCAATGCCTAAGAGAGTAAATGACATTCAGGAGGAGGCAAATGGCATTCAAGAGGATGCAACATTGTAATCTGTAATTTCTACTGAATAAAGGCAATTATCAAGGCTGTCTTTTCTTTCCTTGTTACCAGGAGTGAGTATTTCAGCCAATCAGGATGTGGAGACAGACATGGAGACCTTTCAGATGGAGATTGATAAGGAGAGCAAAAAGTCTATGTTCAGGACCAATGGCGGATCCTACTGGACTCTAGTGACTCACGGAGAGATCCAGTCTACTGCCACAGAAGTGTAAGTAGCTCTTAGAGCTTTAAAAGAGGAGCTTTCTTCCATATTCTCGCATACTTCTTACCTGAACCTCTCCACCTGCTCATCCATGTCTTTTTTCTCAGAGAGGTCAACACAATGTTTGACATTGAGTGGCGAGGACAGAGGGTGGCACTCAAAGCAAGTAATGGAAAGTATGTGTGTACAAAGAAGAATGGGCAGCTCTCAGCAGTCAGTGATTCAGTGGGTAAGCACTCTCAGGCAAGACACAGATTCAGTGTTTGTTTGAAAATGACACCACAGGTACAGCTTTGTTGCCCCATAATAGATGAACAGCATTTGTCCTTCATTGCAGGTGATGATGAATTATTCCTGATGAAACTCATCAACCGCCCTATTCTGATCCTTAGTGGAGAGAATGGTTATGTGTGTCACCACAAGAACTCCAACACTCTGAATGCAAATCGATCTGTCTATGATATTTTCTCATTGATCTTCAATGACGGCGCCTACAATATAAAAAGTCAGTGTTTTATATATGCAAAACATATACAATTTCTGCATAATATTATATCTGTATCCTGTTTTAATAGCAATGGCTGTTAATTTAAACAAATGACTAAAGTATACTCCACTGATATCCTTCTGCAGGCCTGAATGGAAAGTTCTGGTACGTCTCTAGCAGTGGTCTAGTGTGCTCAGATGGAGAAAAGCCAGAGGACTTTTTCCTTGAGTTCCTGGAACATGGACGGGTCGCCATCAAGGGGTCCAATGGCAAATACCTTCGTGGAGACCAGGGAGGTACGCTTATGGGCGATGGCACAAGCGTTGATGGATCTTCTCTTTGGGAGTACTGATCCCTTTCAATCGTGGTCCTCAAAGAGGAAGCAAGAAGGCAGGGTGGAGGACCTGCTTATATCAGGGTTAAATGAAGCGGACTGACGGGGTAACATTTTCCTGCCTGTTTTTATACTAGCTGCCAGGTGCCCAATACTATGTTTTGTCTTTTGTTTTTTTTAATTGGGAAGAAGTGAACACTAGGAAGGTGTGTTTTTTCTTGTAAATGTTACTTATTTTGTCTTTCAAATGAGAATGCCAACATCAAACAACACATACTGTAAGAAAATGTTAAAATTCACAAATACGGATTAAGAGAGTGGCTGTCCCTATTCCTTCAGACACGCTTAGTTCAATATAGGTACAGTGACAACCAAACATCTTTGAGGGCAGCCACAGTGATCAGTCAATGAACAGAGAAAAATTGAATAGAGTCCCACCCGTTTTCTGTTTTGCCTATTTAGAAAGCATGACCATGAATAGCAAGACAAGGCTTCTGTTGCTGCCAAATTCCACTGGCTAAATAGACTAAATAGCTCCAAAAGCTGAAAAGATCTCTGCCAATTTGTCTCTCTGTCAAAACACATACAAATCTGGCAGTGAAGGATACATAAGTCCTCAACAACGTTCATACACTCTCACTGCAAATCAATGAAAAACAGACAATGACAATGATGGATCAGTGCGGCTGCATCCTTTGGTTTATTTAAAAAAACAAACAAAAAAACAACTTAATTGGGTTTAGATGACTAGAATGTAGTCGACTATGTTTATCTGGATCTTAGTTCTGAAACAATCCCACAATGTTTGTTTGCGATACTTGATTTCAATACTTTGAAATGTTCTGTAGTCACTGATGTCATGCTAAGCATCGAGGTAATGCACCATTGTCTTTCATAAGACATGAATGGCTGGTGCCAACTGCGTTTTCATTTATCGTAATGGACCATGCACAGCTTCCATAAAAGCACAATATGAAGCAAATTAAGTGGACCAGAGCATATAGACTGTACTGTCTCAGGCACCTCTGCAATGCTGAGCAATGTATATCCAAAGAGGACTTAGTTCAGCAATACTGCAAACAATGAAACATTTTTGACATAGACGTGTAACACATATAGAAATACAGAGATCAGACATGTTCAGGAACAAAGAATATCAATAGAAATGTCATATTCATATCAGGGACACGCTAGACACCAAAGGGGGAGCACACTGAGAGCATTTGATCGGACTATACATCATTTTTAATGTACCAGGTGTTAACTCAGAAAGTGCTTCTCTGGTGTTCTGCCTAGGGGCCTTAAACCATACTGCACTCTATATCCCTTTATACCCTGTTCTCTTGCTCAGAGTTAGGTGGTAAGATTAGAAAATATAATGGATTTAGATATATATATATAGATATATTTTAACAGATTACTCACTGGAATACTTGTAAGTAAAATAAGAAAACTGTGATGTTCTGTAAAAGATCATGAACATGCAAATGCATTTGAATATAAATCTTAATATAATGCTTGTTTTCCAACTATTTGCCCACAGTGAGATGAGAGGATGCCATGAATTTCATTTGTGAAATGCATGTTATGTGCACTTCCTTTGCCCAGTTGTTGTTGGTCGAACCCAGCTCCATTGTATCAGCAAACTGCTCCTTCAGACAGCTTTGGAGTTGTTAAAAAACACACGCTACAGAGCTGGGCTATCTGCCTTCCCTCTGCCTCCAGCCATCGCTAGGCCAAGAATGTCCCACTGAAACTGATATAAATCTTCTCATCTAACTCTGGCTGTGACAGGAAACAACTGCATTTCAGTGAGTGTGAGCTGTGAGTGTTTCTCTAAGTAACCTGCAGTGACAGTGCTTTTGTAAAATGTGATCAGTAGCCTCTAGTATACCCGTAGGCAGCACAGCCCCTTTAATGGGGAACATTGTAATGATTACAGACTCCTGACACCCATCAAATTCCTAAGGACACAAGCTGCCCAGAATTTATTGGCCCAGATGTTGGTGTGCAGCACAGAGGAGAACCTGTACCTGAACCTGTATAGAATTTATCCTGTATTTTTGCCAGTAATTTCCTAGGAAGAAATAAAATCTGCAGTAGTTCAAGTGTAATGTCTAAACAAATGGTTTTGTGATGTGTGCATTTTGCAGTTAACAGAGAATCATTTTAGAAAGCAAGGTCTAAAAGGCTTGTTAACCTATGCATCCTGTATCAGCTCTATAGAGAGCCTCCAGCCATATTTTAGAATGTATTTAATATATATAGATGTTTTACTATCTTTGTTTTCTGATATGATTTTTGAAAATGTTGATGACAATAAAAACTATGAAAATATGAAATATGATTTAGTAGTTCAAATTGACAATAGGGTTGGTGGTTGTAACCCTGGCTCCTACTTCCGAGTCTCCGTTCATGTCAAGTCTCCTTGAGAGAAACACTAAACCCCAAATTATAATGCAAATGGAGCAGAGAAAGAAAAAAGGATTGCTGCCACTAATGGCACTATTGTGCATCACTAGAAACCACTATCTGTCCTGTTTTAATGTCCAATTCACAAGTTTTGCAGCTGAGTGCAATTTGCAGATGATTTGTTAATGTTCATTTGCAATTTTCTGCTGTGTTTTCAGTAATATTTGGTCAAGTGGACTGAAGTTGCATATCACATGACATTATTAAGCTATGTTTAAGTCAACAGCAACAAACAGAACTTTCCACCTGTATCTTAGGGTGTTTGATCAAAAGAGAACTTACTTAAATCATAAAATAACTATTCTGATTTAACTTCCCCTGCGCTTTTATTGTTTCTATTGGCGGGATGTCTTACAAATAGAGTGATTGTTATTTTGGGAGCTTTACCTGTGTGCTTTCCCTCATGTCCTGGATGCTCTCAACTCTGTTTCTCCGCGCATATAATGTACTCTGGTGTGCTATTTTTCCCGCCTGGCTCCAATCAGTGTTGCTACATCACTCGAAAGTCTGAGCGTGACATTTGCGAATCCGACTTTTTTTGCGATAAGGCACATTTGCATAGAGAGGGGGCAATTTCGAGCCCAATGTATGCATATTAACTTATTTAAATACATGCAAAAAGCATCAGCGTAGCGGAGGGTACATTTCATCCTTTGCGGGTGCTTTGTGAATTTCACAGTTTCTTATTTGTGCAGGCCTGGTGGTTTAAAAGCTGTGCAATGCTTTTGTGATTATTTGCTGATGTTTTCAGCTTAGTTACTTAATAGACAGAAAACTAGAAAGGCGCTACATAAATGCAACCCATTTATCATTAGGTCTGTACAACATGACCCTACACAAATTGCAGCAGAAACTCTTTCAGCTCTTCTAGTCATTTGGCATCCAAAGAAATTCAAGTGGTGAAAAATACTGAAATTGGTGATGCCACAATTTCTCATTGTCACCCATGTTAAAAACATTTATCCATGCATGTCTTCGTCTGTCCACACAAAGACAACCAGAAACTGTGTTTTTACATGAGACATGGAGTTGGATGCAGTAAAATGCAAATTATTATCCTTTAGATGCATAAGTGCTGTTAAAATTGGCCAAAAATGACATTTGATTGTTCTTTTTAAACAACAACTTCTGTGTTGCTGGCAAGGTTTTCATAATATCAGAATGTGAAACTTTGATAAAATACTAGTGTAAATAATACTCGATACCATGGCAAAAAGAAACGCACACAAAATAGGATAACTTTAATTAACCAGCGCACACTGAAATTACTTTGCTATGACTTCATTATCGATCAATGGGTTTCGCCTGTCGCTTCTTCAGGTTTGCTCAGTAAAATTACATTAGCTCTCTCCAGATAATCAATATACCAATATATCTTGGTCACATGACTAAGCATCACAATGTTTTACCATTTTCACAAAGGTGAGTGCTTAGTGATGTTTATTATGTTTATTTAATATTAAACCTGGTTAGCAACCTACGCATAGTGCTGGTTCACAAAAAGTCACTGAACACATACCAACACGTCTGTAATAAAGTTAATAGCAATTTCCGGACAGCCTCAGGACCACATCACCGACCCAATCAGACCGAACCAAATTATCAACTTACAAAAATAAAATTATATCACATATTAGAAGGAAACAACTAAAACACAGAGCAAATTAAAATGCTATCTAACCCTAAAAAGAACATTTGAAAATTATCTGACCACAGTGAAAAATTAAGAAAAGCTTTGACCATGTATATGAGTCAGAAAGCACAGCTGTGGAGAAGGTTCGCCATAAACAGAGCTGGCTAACAGGAGGAGAGACTCTGCTCCGAATGTGACAGAGGACAGGGAGAGACAGAGCTACACTTTCTTACCTCATGCTCCAAATACCAGGCTCAGAGAAATGAATGAATGAATTTTCCTAATATTGGAAAAATGTGAGAAAAAAAAAATCCTCATCTACCACATCAATCTCAGGACACATGACCTTTTCTTCAAACCTGTACCGAAGAAAAGTAGGAAGAACACCACGTGTCTGGAACATCAAGGCCACCAAGCAGCAGCTGGGTCCCAGCATGTGCACTTGCATCCTCTTCATCCTCTTCATTCAGTAGCCGGGTGTGACATTACCTCCCATCTTAATGGCAAAAACCTCACAACCAGCAGTGACTTCCATGAGCTACAGTGTGTGATCCGTCCGCCTTCACAACAGATGTTTTGTCAGCAGGAGAGAATACTTTGCTGTGCCTGTACAATGGGAAGCCTATTGCAATTTGCGCAACGTTTTTCCCACAAATGGCTTTACTGTAAGATATAAAGAAGAGATGACTCAGCAGCCCTCTTTTATAGCAGACATTTTGACTTGTCATGGTAGGAAAAGGATAGGTGTACTAAAATTAACAATGATTTTCACTTTTTCGTAAAAAAAAAAAAGAACTAAAAAAAACTCCATCACATTTTCAACATTGTTTGGGCTTCAACTGGCACTCTTTTAATGTCACCTCATTGTGCCCTTGTGCCACTTGACCAGAGAATTAGTGCCACCAGCTATATG